GAGGAGGAGGAGAGGGGGAGGAGATGGGGAGGAGGAGAGGGGGAGGGGGAGGAGGAGGGAGGAAAAACAAGAGGAAGAGGAAGAGGAAGAAAAGTCTAAAATTTTATACAATACTGGAGAGCTTCGTCCATTTGGACTGCTATTTTTTAAAATACCATAAACAAGGAAGCTTATAAATAATGAAGTTTATCTCTCAGTTTGGAAACTGAGAAGTTCAAGATCAAAGCAGACTTGGTGTCTAGAGAAAGCCTGTTTTCCGTCTCATAGCACCTCTCACTATGTCCTCACATGGTAGAAGAGTCTAGGTACTTCTCTGGAGGTCTCTTTCATAAGGGCACTTACTCCAATCATGAGAGCCCCACCTAATCACTCCCCAGAGGCCCCATCTCCTAGTACCATCACTCTCAGGGTTAAGAGCCCATGTGTGAATTTGGAGAGACCACAGATATGGAGGCCATAGATTAAGGCTACTCATTTGGATTTTACTACAGTTAAAACAATCTGAAGAATGTATCTTGGTGCCACTGACAGAATACAAAATGACAAATTTCAGAATATCTTCTTATTCACCTCATTTGTAAGGTATTTAGTACTCCAAACCTGTAACACTCATTTTTAGCTTTTTTACATTGATTATGCCATTACTATTCCTTGGAACTCTTGTCCTTATTTTTGCCTGAGTTTCAAACTATATCAATGTTTAAGGCTTAATGGGACCCAGTGTTCACCTTTAATACTGAGAAGTATGTAATAAAAAATAAAAATAATAAATAAAAAATAAAAGAAGTATGTAATAAAACTCTGCTACCACTGTTGCATGACCTAGAGAAAGTATCTAAATCTTCAATGCCTCGTTTTCATCATTTATACAATAGAAATGTTCAGTAGGATGCTTCTCACCTTCCTATGGGGTTCTGTCCCAATAAATCCATCATAAGTTGAAAATATCATGAATCGAAAGTATTTGACACCCCTAACCTACTGGACACCACAGCTTAGCTCCACCAACCTTAAATGTACTTGGAAGGCTTATGTTAGTCAACAGTTGTGCAAGATCACCCACCACAAAGCCTGCTCTGTAAAAAAAACTGCCACATATGTCATAGTACAGCAAGATGCACCATGCCACTGCTGCTGACACCACAAGACAGCATCCTATAGCACATCAATGGCCCCAGGAAAAAAATCACAATTCTATATGTGCTGTATGGATCATGCTGAGTGCATGTCACTTTTGTACCACTCATAAGTCAAAAGCTAAGTCCAAGCATCACGAGTTGGGGACATCAATAAGAGATGCATGCAGGCAAAATAGACACTATGAAGTAGATCACCTGTGTGTAACACATCAGATTTTCCCTCTCCAAAATGGATTGGACAGGAGTATATTTTAAGGAGAGGGAAAATTATTCCATGAATGTTGGGGTATACCTAATAGCCTTTGTACTATGTGTTACAACAGCACATCAAATTTTTTAAATGTTGACTTCATTAGTAGAATCATGGACAAGAAGGTATCATACGAGGCTACTTGCATAACCTGTTGAAGATGATGCTCAGGGCCCAAGTTATGGCAGTGATCATAAATAAAGATCAAAGGGGACTGATCTGAGAAATGTTTATGAGATAAAGCAGGTTAGTTGTATGTTCACTTATTAATTTAAAAATAAGGCAGTATTTATGTATCTATATATTTATGTATCTATCATTTATTTATTTTTTAAGTCCTGGTGTCTCTTCTTAACCTGACACTTAGTAATATGTGATCTTGAACAAACCACTTACCCTCTTTTAGTAGCTGGTACCACATTTTTAAAGAGTTGCTCCAAATAAACACTGTATTCTCTTTAACTTTAAAGTTTATGAACCTGTAAATAAAGTTTGTGTTTTATTGAATCACAGAGGCATAAAATGTATCCTTAGAATTTACCAAATATCAAGATGATAGCTGTACACTGTATGAATAATATTGAACCTACCTAACCAACAGGTATGGAATCTGTACATCCCTTTTCTTCACCCAGCACAATCACTATGTTTGATTGTTTGCTACATATGCCCTGCTGGCAATTCTTTGGTTGTGCTCTTGTTATTTTTTATCTAGATTCCTAATTGCACCATTAGTATTCTTATAGCTCCAACCTAATTCCCTTCTAGACACTCTTCAAAAAACTACAGAACTCTAGAGTCAGAAAGACCTAGGATTGAATGCTAAATTTACAGTTTCTTAACTGTATAATTGCCAGCAAGTTTTTAACCTCTCAAAACCTGCTTCCTTCTCTGTAAATCATAGAGATGATTAAAGATTGAACGTTTGTTAAGTCTTAGTATAGTGCCTATTACACAGTAAGAACTCAAAAGCGTTAATTATTTTGAAAAATAAATCTCAAAAAGATTTGAGCAGGCACTTCACAAAAGAGGAAATTCAAATGGCCAATAAAAAATGAAAAGATATCTTCATTAGTAATCAGCAAAATGCAAATTAATACTTCTATGAGTACAATTATGTATGCACCTGATTAGAAAATTTTAGGAACTTGTAAATCAAGTGTTGGTGAGAATGTAGAATTTCTTCCTATACCACTTCTGGAATTGCAAATCAGTGTAACAAATTTGGAAAAATATTTCAAAAATATTTAGTAATATTAATAGCTTAAAACTTAACAGTTCTTTCCCTTGATATTTATCTTCATGATGCCCTTACAGGTTTGTGATAGGATCTATGAAGAATAATATAAAAATAAACACAGAAAATTGTATAATGTACTCTAAGTCTAATGTAAGTAGTATGAAAATAATCCAAACATTCATCAAAAGTAGAATGGATAAGTAAATCTTGGTATATTCTTTGGGTAGCATACTATGCAAGAGTTTAAATGAGTAAACTACATCCATGGACAGAAGAGTCTCACAATGTCTAGCAAAATAATCAGGAGATTTAGGTTATATGTACATGATACAAGTATGGGGAGTTGAAGCACAAGTGAAGTAAGATAAACACTACAAAGGTACACACATAAATGGAAAGCCTCCAAAGAGAAGCAGGAGAATGAGTGGTGGCAAGTAGGAAAGTACTACAGTTGGTGACTTCCTCTAGTGGGGAAGGAAAAGTACGTGATCTTAAAGGGGCACACAGGAGCTTGCTGAGGGTCTATTCCACAGTACAAGTGGTTACATGGAGTGTGATTTACAATCGTTCTTTAACCTGTGTTGATTTTATATATTATCCAATGAGTATGTTCCACACCTCAAACTGATTACGCCATTCTCCTACTTAAAATTTTTCAAAAGCTCTTCACTTGGGCCGGGGGTGAGGGGGAGGATTTAGCTCAGTGGTTTCGCCACCTGCTGTGCAGGCACAAGGACCCGAGTTCAATCCCTGGTACCAAAAAAAAAAAAGCTCTTCACTTTAGGCTAAAAAGGAAATTCTTTAGCCTTGTCTAGAAGATCCTGCATGGTATCTCCTATACGCCTCTCCAGCTATAGCTCTGCTACTAGCATCTACACTACCACAGAGTAAATGGTAGCTAACAACCCATTCATGCTCTCTCAAGTTTCAGACCTGTTGAAAACTGTTCCCACTGTGCCACTGAGTCCTCCTTTCCTCTTATCTTCTTGCTATACTTAACAGTCCATTAAAATCTCACTTCTCTGGAAAGCCTTCCTTGATTTATTCCCACCACACATGTGCTAGATTCTCCTTTGCGGTCCTTCCTTCAGCACATATGTCTACCTATATAATACCACTTTACTACTGCCACACTTTCTAGAATATATCTGTTAACAGCACACTTTCTAATGAGTATGATATTCTTTGGACTGAAAATTCCTTTAAAGCAAAGATTTTCATTTATCCCAAAGTTGAGCAAGATATTTACACACAGATTCTCAACAAGTGCTGCTTAATGAATAAATATTTAGCATTGGAACAATATGTATATTTTTTACATCACTGGAAGTAACACATAACAGCATATTATATTCAACCTTATAAAACTGAACTGATGACAAAAATGGTTGCTTATTAGCAATTATATTATTTCTTCTTTATGACAAATATTCCTTGAATACATTTTTGTTAAGCACAGCCTAATGGTGACTACTACATTTACTTTGTCAATACATCTATAGCCAGATTATTTTAAAAGTCACAATGTGAAATAACTATAGGATTGATTCCATTCTACTTCTACAGTTATAAGGTATGTGTTAATTCATAGAGCAGCCTGTCTACAGCTGGTTACACAAGTCACTAGGCTCAAAATAACTTCTCTTGGAGCCTTAGCACCACCACTGTCATAGTCTGTTCTCAAAGATGTCATTTAACAGATTATAACTTATTCATCTCTGTTGGAGTCTACTGATTATTGACTTAGGTGACTATGAAGTATTAAGTATTTGATTAAAAAAGATATTCTGCCTGTGTGTGCTGATGCTTTTTTAAAAAAATTATTAAGTTTAAAATTATTTCAAAGTAGAGCAACTGGATCTAGTTTTAATATTGTTTTCTTTAAAAACAAACATAAATTTAACTGTATAGAGCTGTGATATAATTTCTCTGCCTTTTTTCTTGAAAGTCTAAATGATATGTGTGTATGGACTTCTGAAAGGAATTAGGCATTGTAATTTAACTCAAAAGTACTTTTTTTATATTAAAAGAGCTTAATTAATGAAACAGTATTACTTTGCAAATAAGAAAACCCACGTAAAAACAATGTTCCCCAACTGTTACTCTGCCACACAAAATTGTTCACTGCAGCCATCTTAATGTCCTGGAAAAGTCCACAGTGGTGGTGTCATGGCATCTCACAAGACTTCTCCTACCAGATGTGGTATTAGCAGAACTGCACCATTAATTAAACATCCTGTACTGTTGATTTTTACTTTGGTTGATATTATTTGAGACAATATTTCTTTAGTGCCATACCCTGGACAATACACAATTGGTTATATAGATCATAGATTTTATGCTAAAGACCATTTTAAAATTTGTCACTCACCACTGCTTATGAGGTTTGTCATCTATAGGAAATGGGTCTAGTTCAACAGCTTCTTGCATGAGTTACCATAACCAAGATCTGAGATGCTCCTGCCGTTGATGTTTCTCACGCTAGCCTAAAATCAAAGCAAAAAGATAGATGAGTTTGATATGTAAAGTTTAAAAGGAAATTCTCCCTGCTCTTAGAAAACTAAAAGACTGACAACAAAGATAAATAACAATTGTTTTCTAGGTGGTAAGTACAAGGGAAGAAAATAAAACATCTCAAAGAGGTTAACTCAGTTTGGAGACTGTTGCGAACCCAAAAACTCTGATGTTATCAACTCCAGGACAGCTATATATTTTAAAATCCAAACATAAACTCAACTAGTAATTGTTCTTTGGGTGGATATGATATTCAACTTTGTGATTATGGCCTTGGTTTTGTAATAAAAAGACATCAATTCAGCCTCAATTGAAATAGCTCCATAGTTAAATATGTTTACGTATTCTGCTCTTCCTGTAAGATTTCCTTAGAAAAATAGGTTATATAGTTATGAATAAAAGGATGAAAACCTCTGTGGTAAGAGAAACAAAGTAAAACTAAACTCAGTAGTTTGAAGTTAGAAAGAGACCTGTATTCTTTCATAATCTGATCTAGTGATAGCATTGCTTTTTCAACCTTAGTGCCTGTCACTTCCCAGCATTATATTGCATTAGACTCTCAACAACTGTGCCGTTTCTAACGGTCTACCCATTGTCAAACCATAGTTTTGCTTTTCTAGTTTGAAAAATACAGTCACCACACCAAAAATAAATGTTATCTCTTCCAAATATGAGTCTTTTTTCCTGGCCAGCTGCTTACTACTACTCCTAGGAATACCCTCCTGCCCCTACTCAATATCCTGGTGTGGCCTCCAGTGTCAACTACTGAGGGGATAAATCTCTCTCTCTTCTGGATTTCTATTGTGATTACTGTCAAACCCCTAGAAGGGACCCTTAATCTTATGCCATAATTGTTGTTATTTAACCTCATCTTCCCAAATGATCATAAGCTACAAATGACAGAAACTTGTCTTCCATTTTTCCAAACTCTTCCACCCATAGCACTCAGAAAAAATTCTGTATATGTAATACATTCATTCAGTAAATATTTATTGTGCCCCTACTGTGTGTCTAAGTCAGTACTTGGCAGAGGCTATACTTTAACAGAGAATATAGATGATATGGGAACAGGCAGTTACACTATTGTGTGGTGAGTGCTAAAATGGAGCTTCCTTCTGAAGACACTGAATGAACATTACCAAACAGGGAGACCTAAGAGCTCTCCTTCACTATCAGTGGCTTCAGATCCTATTTCCAATGTACAAAAACAGGCCAATTATTTTAAGAAACCCATTTTCAGGAAGCGCCTACACACCCAAGCAGTTTAACATCCACAAACCGGAGTCAGTTGTACTTCTAAGAACATACACCATTAAAATGAATTTCTAGTACATACTTTTAAGGCACTGCTGTTTTTGGTTTTGTTTTTATTTTCTTCCTATCATCAAAAGAGGGGGAGAAGAAGAAAAAGAAGTAGAAGCAGCAGCAGCAAAAATCCTGTGTGTTACTGAGTAGGCTACTCTGCAATTGCCGGGGTGCCCTTTGGGGAGCTCCACCTGCACCCCACACACCACATGGCGCATAGAACAGCTGTGGTTAGGTTCTTCCAGGGGAGCTTTCAGGCATTTCTTCTCCCATTCAGAAGTTGGGTTTCCACTTCTACAAACATCATTTCCATCAGCCCATGGGTTTGACATCACTCAGTCTCCAGAGATAAGAAGAGTGAGAAAGTCCATAAAACTTCTCAAGGATCCAAAACATGGATGAAAATCCTTTACCAAAAATAAGTATGTATGAAGTCTAATTTTCAAACACAACATGTTTCTTTTTATTTCGGTATTTTCAGTATCACCCTGATGTCTCTGCTAGATTTTCTGTGAAAATTTACCATAGGGAATGAAGCTTCTCTCCATTTAATATAGGGAAAAAATACACACAGAATTCTCCTTTTCCCTCTCTTTGCCTCATTTTGACACAAGGGTAAAACATATTCAAACCAGAAAGTCTCTAGTTGGAACCTTACAACCTTGCTGATAAAACACACACACAGAGGTGAATATCTGAAAACACACACTCCAATTCTAAATTACACATTCTCTTTCAAACAATCAATATGCATCATGATCTTTTCTCTGAATCAGCAGTACAGTGTCTCATCTCAGACTTACATAACACAATCACTATATTCAATATACTAAAGATGCAAATGGAATCTGTCCTTATTTTCCAAGAAGCCTCTCCTCCAGGAATCCACAGCTCAACTTTCACAAGGCCTTGGCTCTCCGGAGAAGGTGCAACAATCCATGCCTGTGTGGTAGAAGGAGGTGCTAGGCAAGCCTGCAGCAAGCAGAGCATTGTGCTCCACTCTTGCCCTTACTAGACACTTTTGTGCCTCTTTTTGCATGTTTGTTACAGTGTCCAACCCAAAGCTTCAAACAGAGGGCCAGAGGAAATACAAGGGGAAACGAAGAAAATTTCAAAAGCCAATTTGTTTACTTCTTACTGTAATTGAAGGAAGACTCTTGCTTTGAGTTCATTTTTCACATAAGCAACTAAGCAATCATTTGACTTGAACACACCAATTTCACTCCAAGTCCTTTAGCTAAAACTGTGACCAGATGTCAAAACAGAGCAAGAAGGAAGAATATCTGTCCCCACATTTAACAAACAAAACACCTCTCTCATTTTGCCTTTATATTTTATCATCAGTATAAAATCCTCTGTAACTAAGCTTATATTCAAAAATTCATTTACATGAAGCTACAATCAAACTTTAAATATGCATGTGTCTTTAGTCATGGGAGGCTTTTTCAGATTACTCAGGTAGGAAAAATTCCTTCTGCTAGTGGTAGTCCTATAGAATATACTGACAATGAGTTAATTTTCCTGTAAATGCAAATTACTCATATCAGATAGCATTCACAACCAACTCTCCAATCATTTTAACCTTGACGAATACTGACCACATACTATGAGACTATTAAATGCTAATAGCTGCAGACCTACCAGACAATGACAGCAAAAACACACTTGTCTCTGTGAGATCTGTTCATAAATATCCCCTTCCAGCACAGCAAGTGCCCTCCTCCCCACAGCAGATGCTGCTCTGGGGTGAGCAGGCAGGAGGCTGGAGGCAGCTGATTTTTCCCCTCTGTGTATATTTCTTACTGCCTCATCATCCTGAATCTTTTTTTAGTGAAACTGCAATGATTTTGCAAGAACAGGAGCCCCTCAAATTCAAGACACTTTGCAACAGTGGGAAGGAGTGATTTGCAAATGAGGAAGCAGAAAGACTCTTTAATATTTAAGGTCATACCATCTTTGTCATCCAATTTCCTAGTCCTGTTGTGGGGAAAAGAAAAACTCAGTTTGCTCGTGTGATAAAATAAGCTAATCCAATACTTTTTGTCATTATGTAGGGTAAGATCAAGACCAAGAAGGGAATACATTCCAGAGGCAGCAAAGTTGCTACATCCCAATGACCCGGCCCCTAAAATCCAACAGTTCCCAAGTGGAGCTAGAGGCTTGTGAGCTCATTCCTGAGCATTGCTATCTGTGTTTACAACATACATGCTCTCCACAGAGCCCACTGGGAGAAATGGTCATCACTGCAATCATTTTAAATATGTTGATCTGCATTCTAAGAGCTCTTCCAGGGTCTGATGAGTCGTAGACCAGGACAGAGGGAGAAACTGCATCTGGGTCTGGTGATGCATGGTGCACTTACTTAAACCCATTTTCTTTCCATCTCCACCGTGGCCTGTCCCACAAGACTTAGCCTGCCCCTTGCTGTTATATTCATGAAAGTTACGGTCAACACACCAGAGGAACAAGGCTGCTGTGCAGTACCATCAGGCTCTGCAGCAAAAGCATCCCATGTAAAAAACCTTGTGATTGCTTTGGTGCCAGCTTCCATGGGATAAGCCAGGCTGTTTCTGGAACTAAATCACAGTAGCCCTGGAAGAATGACCACTAAGTCTCCAGATTTAAGTGTAGGAGAAAAAAACAAAAAGGAAATACATATAATTGTCTTCAAATATCTCTATATCCCAATTGACTTGAAGATCTTCCAGTAAATACCATTCATGTTGCTGAAAGCACAAATACATAAATCATGCTAAATATATTGCCATGCTCATTTCTGATGATATATCTTTTTTTTTTCCAAAAGAGCTCTGACATTTGTAGGGGGCACAGTATCCCAGCACAGAATACCTGGGAACACTGCCATTAAAAAAAAATGCTGCCTGCTGTGACTAGCAGATCACTTTCTTAAAGGGTCCCCTTACTTACCTACATGACTGCAGTGCCAGCGTTTGCTCTGGTCTCTAACCTGTCCCCTGTTTCGTGTCCCTCTCCCTGACCCAAATGTAGCCCAGAGACTCTCTGCAAAAGTATATATACATATATATATATATGTGTGTGTATATATATACATATATATACATATATATATGTGTGTATATATATACATATATATACATATATATATAATGTTTAATTCCTTGCTAAGTTATATAAATATGTACCAAAACATTCATTGCCAGGAAGTAGACATAAATGAATATTAAATGACATTATTTTTTAATATCTTATGGAACCCATAGCATTTCTCAGATGAGGGACCAAGGTCAATACTTCCCACCTACAAAGCCGCCCCCTCCCCGGTGTGGGAGTCACTTTGCTCTGGAACTCTACATTGGTCTCAAAGCCCCTGTGGTCACAAGCACACTGCTCCCTCCCATTCTCTGCACCCTTGAGTCCACACAGAAAGGCTTCAGCATGCCATGTCTGAGAAGATGCTCTGTCCAGAGAGAAACGCTGTAGCTTCTTGCCTCAGAGCTAGTTGACTAGATGAATCCACTTTAGACCCCAACTCTCTCCAGCCACCCATGCCCCCTCTCCCAGCCCACCAGGAGCAACGAATAGACATCACCCCACCCTCCACAATCAGGTTAGAACCCAGAAGGAGCAGAGCCACCTACCATTCCGTGTCTGAGAACTACAGTCCTGATCCGGCCGTGTTTGCCCCAGAAATCCTCCTCACTTTGTTATCATTAACCACATCCCAAACTGCAACAAGGAAGAGATTCTTTGGAGGAGGGGAGATTGTTTAAAATTAATGATAGGCAGGTGATTTCCAAGAAGACCCAATCTGAAACTCACTCAAGCCCCTACGAACTAATAGGAGAGGAAAAAAAGAATTTGTAAAAATGAAAAAAGAAAAGAAAAAGGTATGCATATAAGAAGCACCACCCACCCCCATAAAAAGCAAAAGGAACGGGGAGATTTTTTAAAAGAAGAGCAGCTTGCTGAATCACCCCCTTTCACTGCCTGGAAACCATTGTGCGGCGTGATGCTGCCTGTACCATTGTGGAACCTACCAGAGGAGACGGACACAGGGCTGGGGGAATGGCGTTGCTATGGCAACTAAAAGGAGCACACATGACGTCAAAGCCCAGAGAGGTCTGGGGAGGGGCAGAGGGGGAAAGAGAAAGGAAAAAGTCTCTGTATGGCTACAGCTAGGATGCTTTCTGGCGAAATGAGGGGAAAGCAAAATGTCAAGGAATAGGGCTCACAGGCAGCTAATATCAGCAACTCCATAGGACATCAAGCAGCCGGTCTATGAAGCGCGGAGAAGCAGTGTACTGCGCGAAGCTGTGGCCCTTTCCGAAGCAGCACCAAAGAACAAATGCAGGCAGATCAAAACCGGGGCAAATGCAGTCAGCCTCGGCTCTTCAACAAGCTCTGCTTTTTGCAAACAACAGGAAGACGCACAGATCCTCTAAATGTCAAAACAAACCCGAGATGGTTATAATCGCAGAGGAGAAGGCGCGTTTAAGTCTTATCCAGACCACAAGGTCATTAGCACAGGACACAGCCTCTTCTCTCTCCTTATTTCCGAAAACTCCTGAATAAATTCCCACCCACCCAGTTTAACAGACTAATGCTTAGGTTGCAACTGAAGTCTAGAAAGAAAATACAGACCATTTGAATTAACAAATCAAGATTCTTTTCTCTAAAAGCAGATAATTATTTGGAAAACTGATGTAAATTGCATTATTACTATTTGAGGCAAATATCTTATTTTTTTAAAGTAAGTTGTTTTGCCTTTGACTCTCCTTACAAGGGTATTTTTTAGGTCCCCATACAATTTTAATACTTGCAAGTAGTAGGTTCATAGAATGAGATCAGTTGTCTGACCCTACTACTTAAAAAATTGTTTACCAAAAATTTTTACATAAGAAAAAATGTTCAGAACATGTTTTAAGTGAAGCAGACTTACCCTTGGATTTCTCAAGCTACATAATCAAGTCCTTTTTTATTTTCCTTAAACATCTTTCCAGTGGGTATCTCTCTGCTGCAACAAAGCAGTACTGAGTTTTGTGATTCTACGTTATGTTTTAGAACTAGCATACTTTTGGAAGGAGCTTCTAAGAGGACCTTCTTCCTCAACATTGATTTTAGCACTGCAACACTTAACAAAACTGTAAGGGACCACATAAAGTTTTATTACTTTGGTATCACTGTTGTGGCTATTTAGGACGGAAATTAGAAAAGAAAGGCTTATATAAGATTTGTGTCACTAAGTCCACTAGTTCTCTGTTCACTTAAGTCCACAAGTTTTTGGATGCCCCTTGACTGTAATTTCAAGTTTGGCAAGAATCAATTGACTACCAACGTTTAGTCTTCACAGTAGCTCTACTATACAAGATAGTTGTCTTGTGCAAATGCAAATTGATAGCCAAGCAACTTTATAACAGAAAGAAATTGCTATTCCCACTTCTAAATTATTGCACTCTAAGTATTTTAGGATTTCATTTTGTTTTCTTTATTTTGTTCAATCCCCAGGACCTCAACCAAGCTAAACAAATGTTCTACCACTGAGCTACACCCCGACCCTGTCTCTGTTTGGCTCACAAAGATCAGCCTCCAGAAACTCAACATCAATAAGGAAAAATATAAACTTCAACTCTTACCTTATACTGTACACATAAACATTAATTCCAGATAAGTTTTACACTTATATATATACAAGTTAAAATCTATAAAGCTATTAAAATTAAATATACCTTTTAAAAGAAAAAACAGCTCTCTGACCTTAAAAAGGCTAAGATTTCTTAAGACAAAGAATGCTCTCATCATAACAATATTTTTAAAAAAGAAAAGCAGACTTCATTAAACTTAAAAGCTTCCGTGTATACAAAGTCGTCATTAAGAAAATGAATGAACAAGCTGCCGACTAGAAAATAATACTCTTGATATACCTCTACAGATATTCTAAATACTCGCAACTCAAAAATAAAAAGAAATAAGCAATTTTATTTAATGGGCAAAAGACTTGAATAGGCACTTGATAAAGAAAGATTTATAAATGATGCAAAGTATATGAAAAAGTATCCAACATCATTAGTCATCAGAGAAATGCAAATTACAGCCACAATATAATAATTTTTGTGACCAAACAGATAACTAACATTTAAAAAGTGAACACTACTAAATATTGCCAAGTCTATAAAGAAATCAGAATTCTTTATATTAGTGATTGAAGTATAAAAAAATAAAACTATTTTGAGAAATAGTTCAGCAGTTTTTATAATGACAAGCATACACTTAGAGTATGATTCAATAATACTATCCATAGGTCTTCACCCAAGAGACCAGAAATCTATAACCACAAAAAAAAAAGACCACCCAGCCTTACATATTATGCCAGCTTTATTTGTATTAGGTAAAAACTGGAAACAATTCACAGAATATTGTAGATAAAATATGATAAATTCGTATAACAGAACGTTACTCAGCAATGAAAAAGAATGGCAGCCATGAAAAAGTTAAACAACCATTAGATGCTAATTTTTAATGGCATTAATTATTTCATTTAGATTTTGGTGTGCATTTACTTTTTAGGGCTTCAAATCTCAATCTCAACTAATTTCAGTAATATTTACATTATGTAAATGGCCTTTTAAGTCTATCCTATACATTTTAGAAAAATTAATTTCCTAAAATGTAGTATGCAATATAAACTAGTTTTTAAAAGCAAATCACTATATGGTTTCCATTTCTTGTTTAATAAAACCAAACTCTATTTTAAAGCCCTCAATAAATAAGATAATTCTAACATATTTCTTCATTGCCACTATTCATTCCACTGAAATATATTTCAGAGCTTTTCACCCACCAAATAAATTTTTTTTAAAGTTTAATAAAAAGAGAGAAAGAGGGGGCTGTGGATGTAGCTCAAGGATAGGACACTTGCCTAGTGTTCACAAGGCCCTGGGTTCCATCCTCAGCAATGTAATGAGGTGGGGGGATCATTACATTTGCCATTTAAAGGGCTTATGTGTAGTTTCACCCACTGAATGAACTCCCACAAAGTTATCTCCTTCTCTTCATTTGGTACTGACCATACTGAATTATATATTTGTATAACTTTATGAATATATAATGTATCACCTTATAATTGACAATGACTTAATCTTTTTTATTTCTCATCATCTTCCCTAAAGTTTCCCTTTTCTAGAAACTGAACATGTAAGTGATCACCAGTCATGATTAATTATAATTATCTACCATTTATAATTCTTTTATCAGTTAACAAAAAAATTTTCTCAAATATAATTATGAAATGTTAAAATTTGAGATTTTCAGTGTTAAAGAAGGTAACCTTTACAATATTGTAAACTTACAATATTACATATTTGAATTTTGGGTGGAGTTCTAAAAACATCTTAACCCTTTCAAACTCTTCAAAGTGCTTTCAAATAAAATTGTACTAAACCCAGAAGTCTGATTTGAATTCCATTTGTAGTAACAATTACAAGAAATTTTTGAGGAGAATTTTTAAATGAATATAAATTCTTATTTTCAAAAGCATGGAAAAAAATTTAAAAATTAAAAAAAAATTAAAAAGCATGGAATTGTATTTAGTACTCTTTGTACAAAAATCTATGTGTTTAATGGCATGTGTGTAGCCCACAATAGGACTTGTTCCTCAAGAAGAGATCTCTCTTCCCTTATAAACTTCAAGACAGTATGTTTTCAAAATGAACTACTAAAATTACAATATAGATGAATCTCAATAACATTATACATATATATCTTTTGGTTTTACATACATATTTCAGAAGACACAAAACTACTCTATGGTGATAGGAATCAGATCTATAACTGCATGAGGGAGACAGACAGTAGAGGCCTATGAATAAGACAGAAATTTATGTAGTGATGAAAACGCTCTACATCTTGACAGAGCCAGTTACTTTATGGGTACTATAGATTTGTCAAAACTCCTCAAAGTGTAAACTCTTAAAATTCTATGCATTTCACACTATGTACATTAAATTTTCATTTAGGAAAAAAATAAATTCAGTCAAGTTTCAAGAAGAAAACTGCTGAATAAGCAAATATGTTGGAGTTTCAAACCCCACAGATCCATTCCCTTACCCTGCATCTTGTTTTTGTAGATCTAGCAAGACATAAAAGCAGACTCACGGTCATGGGGATCTTGCAAAACCCAGCAAAACTTCAGAGACGAGGCAAAACATTGGTGGAGTTTATGTAACAAACAAGACATGAAAATTCCGATTTTCAGAAAAGCCCAAGGGTCTTCAGGACAAGGGAACATGAAAGAGTCACACCAGTGACACTGAGGGGCCAAGAAAGACTCTGGTCTGAGTCCAAGTCTCAAGAGCATTGATGGGGCTGGAAGTAAAACCAGCGAATGCCCGGAGGTCTCTGGTCAGAATTTGTTCCAGTCAGGAGATCAACTTGTCTCCACTGGCCAGTACTTCCCAGGGTTCAGACAGAAAGTCTCACCTTCCAGGAATCCCCTTGATCCAAGGCAAAAGTCACAAGTTCTTCCTGATATTAATGTCACTAAAGAAGAGTGTCACCTGGCTATGCTTTCAACAGTTAAGTCAGTATTCCTTGAATTACAGTACAGCAAGAGGATGCAAAAAGTTTGATAAAAACTTGCAAAATTACAAAATCTAAATCAATAAAGTTTGATGAGTGATTGAATATGCATGGATAACAGGCAGTCAGTGCTGATAATTCATGTACTGTGTATCATCTCCCAGATAGATAAGAATACCTTCCCTCAGAGAATCAATCATGTATCTTTCATGATGCTATTAGAACATAATATTTCCCCAAGTGTGTTTACTTGAGGAGCATTCATCTTGTACAAAAATATTCCATAGTTCAAAGGTTTCAGAAATGTTACATATATATGGTATCTCTCTTTGTAAAGCCATGTTACACACTAGTAAGGTAAAGGTGCTGAGAAACCCTGAGGTCAAAGAAAATTATTTAAGTCTCCCAAAATTATTTCTCAGCCAGAGTGGTGGCACACACCTGTA